TACCATCAGGTAGCATACTGCCTGTTCTTTTCACTCACTAACTTAATCTATCAACTAAGCTATGCTGGGCCAACAGTATCACCTGGTGTTTACTATATCAAATTGTCTGACCTAGAGTTTCTTGTAGGAATTGTGTACACTTATTTTCAAGTCACAGTTCAGAAAAAGTCTTTAGTATTTCTTACATATTCATCATCTTGTACACCTCTTACTCCCTCTAACTCAGCGATTCTCAAAGTAGGCAGCATAAGGAAAGGAAAGAAAAGGAAAGGAGATGTGAGGGGCAGGGAATCATTTAGAAAATTAGTAATTAAAGAGAAGTTTTTCAATATATTAAAAATCCCTTGGCTAAGATTCTGATACATCCGTCTTAGTGGAACATCATCTCACCTCACCCTTTCAAAAATCACAATGTGTCAAAAGAAATTGATATCACTTATGAGAGAGTCCTGGGAAATACAAAATCAGAAAACTATAAACAGTTCTTGGGTAATGCCCAACCCCACCCCACCTTTACTCTCACCCCTTATCTTCTCCAATAATGTTGACTTGTGTAGTATGACATCCATGCAGTTGTACTAAGATTGAGGTAAGTACATCTTTTCACTGCCCATTATTGTCTTAGACAAACCACTTACATCTATATGGCTCCCCTCACAAAAGGTCCATGTTCTTATTATAATATTTTATGCTTAAAAAAGCTACCTAGGAAGAAAATGTAGTCAATGTCTAGCTGGAGTTCCAGCTTGAGTGTTAAAGCCAGGTCTGCCTCTGGGAGTCAGATATGTTTAGAAAAATCTGGTAAACTCATGCATTGAGGTCACCTGGAATCTGTTTGTAGGAAGGACTCGGGTGTCTCCAGGGAAAGTACTTACCCTAAAGGGAAAGAAAGGGAAACAAGTTTTTCCTAGTCTCCAAAATCTGATTCTGAGAGAGGTGATTCTGAGTTTTGTATGGAGTCAGTCACTAAGATTTGCTGTTCCCCCCCACTACTCCCCAGAACTCCACAGATTTCTGTCTGAGTTCTGAGGCAAAAAGAAGATTCCAAAAAAATTGAAAGAGGTATCATTCCCAAAAAACTATATAAGACAATAGAGCAAAAAATATTCCTGCTATGGTATCTACTTTGTGTATAATACAATGTACCTCTCACACACCAAGAACTTCAGATCATAAGATAGGACATCTCATTTATGGTACTTTATAGCTGCATGATTCAGTGCAGTTTATAACAGTATCCCTTACCATGTTGGGAACATCTAAAAACAGCCCTTTGCCAGAAATATTAGTATTTTCAAGGTAGACACCCCCCTATAAACAGGGTGCAGAGACTTCCATAGATGACCTACCTCACTGCCTTTGTAGAGTCCACTATGAGTACATGTGAGCCACCCTCCAGCCCCAACCAGGCGTTCCAGAAATAGTAGAATAAATAATAATAAAGCATGGACTTTGAGAAAAGAGTAAGATCCCCAATTTTAACTGACAGCAAGAGCCAGAGAAATATGGGTTACAGTAGACTAATAATACTCAGATATGAATATTTAGAAAAGTTTGCCTGGAATGTAATGTTTTCCAATCTCCAAGTAAATGGCATGCATGTAATTTCCATTTAAACATCATCAGAAGTATTGAAACTAAGTCACTTGAAGACAAGGTCTTGGTCTCAATTCACCATAGTCTCCAAATCTCTCTTTGGTAGAAAATGAAACATTTACTCTTTTTTACTTTTCCCCCCTTCCCCTTACTCATTCTCTCTCAACCTTATAAATATATAGTTACTATACCGAGTACATTAGCAGTACACTGAAGAATTCCTGAGACATCTTCAATGTCTTCTTTGTTGGAATGGTCTGCATAGGAGCATCTGTTAGAAATATTGTAGAAATTCTTTTCTACATCCCTATAACTAAGAAGAAAACAAAATTAGTATATGGAGAAATTTTTAAAAGACTCTGCAAATGCACTCATATACATACACAAAAGCATGTGTTTATGCTCTTAGCATAATGACATTTTCAAACAACTGAAGCTTTAAGACATAATTTCTGGCATAACCCATCACTAACATCAGAATAAGCAATGTGGACCTGGAACTGGAAGCAATCATTAACAAGAAAGCAATGTGTGAAAAAAATAAATGATAAGAACCAGAAAATACATCAGTTTGTATAGCTAATGTTTCTTTATTTGAGTGCTTCATAATTACTGGTAATTTGTTTCTATAATGAATTTGCCTAGAAAAAGAATAATTAACAGTGCTAATTCGGTGCGTTAGCACTAACTGTGTTGAAAGTAAACACATCTTAACTTCTATTACAGTCAAGAAATTAGCATGGATAACAAATAAGCAAATAAAGCGTTTGGTGTCTGACAGAATTTGAATCATTGTCTTACCTTTTTCTATCTGTGAGACTTTGGGCAAGTAATCTAATCTCTGGTAGTCTAACTTTCCTCCCTCATGAAACGGAGATACCTCCTAGAGTTCTTACGAGGACTTAAAGATAAAATGCCTGTGTTGACTGAAACTTTTCCAGTTTCCTCTGAATTAGAGCTAAGGCACCAAAGCTGCAGAAAATAAAGGTCAAACGCTCCCATGTTTCAAAAGAGTAGCCAAGAAGACCAGACATCGCCTTCAGAACTTAAGAAGTGATTAAATAGTCACTGCCATTGTCACCTCACCACTAGCATACATAAGCCAAGGAATAGGAAAAATTTGAAAGAAAATAATCAGAAGAATGAGTTATTGGCCTAGGAGAGTACTGTTGTTATCTCCCCCCACCCCCACACACACACAAACACAAGTAAAAGAGAGAAGGGGAATATTCCCTACAGAGGACCAGTTGGTGAAAGAGGGATCTACTCTGATAGAGACTGAGGCTTAGGTATCTCATTCCTCCATGAATATCTGCTGAGGTGGTGGAATTCCTGATCATCCCTCTATACCTGACTGAATGGAAGAAGATTCCAGGGAGTGTTATTAACAGGGAAAATAAATAGAGCCAAATTGGAACTGGCCTACAGTCCTACTATTTGGCAAGGCAAAAACTATGGGTTTCCCATGGGAAAATTCATATTTAGTGATATGGAGATATCACTAAAGAAAGGTGAGCTGGGGGTGTTCCATCCTATTGCTTTCCCAATCTAGAGGCTGCAGCCAGGGGCAGGGATTACACTAGCAAAACTGTGGAGTGAAATCCACAGAGCCAGGAGCTGAGGCATCTGAAGCAGTAAAGGCAGAGCCTGTACATGCACCTTGCTGAGGGCATCACAGCCAAGAGAGGATTATTAAAACCACCAGTGAAGTAAACAAGGCTTCTACTATTTCCCATTTTATTCATACCTGATATAACACATCAGAAGAGAAAGTAACAGGAAAGGATTGTCCTAAAGCAGAGGAGTCAATAATACATGATATCACCTCTACATTGCATTCCAAGTTCCTCAGGCCAAGGTGTAACCCAGGCAGAGAGGGACAGAGAATAAGATTGGATATGAGATTGAAGATTTGAATTGGTCTGGAGTGGACTTTATACTCCCTGAAAGTACTTGGAATACAGTGCAATCTGCCCAACCTAGTATCAAAGAGGGCTCATCATAGCATGTTTGAAATGACTGGGGAGAAAAAAGTAAAAGGGTTTCATGTTTGTAAAATTAGACTCCAATAAACCAGTTAAGCAAAATGCTTACTACAGTTTCTAGAATGCAGGAATCACTCAGTAAAAGGTGGAATGGGGAGCACAGTCATTAAACACAGACAAATACAGGTTTATTTTTAAATCAAGCTCCACCATTTTAATCAGAGTGACCTTAAACAAAATATTTTTTCTCACAGTCTCAATCTCCTCATCTGTAAAAATGAGCTTAATACAGTGATCCTATGAAATAGATTGTTAGTATTAAATAAAATAACAGATATGAAGTGCCCAGTATATTACCTCAAAAACAGAGAGCAATCAATAGATATTAGATTTTATCTAACTTGTTTTTATTCAGTAAGATAGTTTAGATAAAATAATTTACAGCCACAAAATCTGACCACGACAGCATAAGTAATATCACTGAAGCTTGTTTCCCAGAATAAGCAGGGTTAACCCACTCCTAATTTCACTTCTAATGCTCTATTGAAATTATTCTAGCTTAATCCTTATTCAGCTGTCAAAATAAAAAGAGAACGGAGGTTGGCTGTATAAAACAAACACAGAGCCCACAGTGATAAATGGAGTAATAATATACCTTTAGATGACTATAGGAAATGGTGTCCCAGACCAATATGAGTTTGGCAGCAGTCCTACCTGTGATATTAGCACAACGATGCTCATTCTGGCAAAAAGTATAAAATGAATGGCATGATACTTAACACATATTTTTCTATATTTTGATGATTAAAATATATAATGAATTAAAATTACATCTCAGAAAGATGATCATGTTATTGTCTAATCATAGTTTTAAAGAAATCTCTGCTTTGTCTTCCCTACCATAGCAATCCGTTTTTGTGAGCTAAAGACCAGTAGGAGTGGTGTAATATAAACATAAGTGAGAGCAGTTAGATTAGGCACTCTGGAGGAAGAAATTTAGATTTTTAAAAATCCAAATTCTCTGTAAGAAGAAAGCTGTAGCTGGAACATGAACCGGGCATATTTAACTCCTGATGCTAAACAAATGATTGCAGAGTTTTTTCTTTCTCTTTTCTTTTTTTTTGCGGTACACAGGCCTCTCACTGTTGTGGTCTCTCCCATTGTGGAGCACAGCCTCCGGACGCGCAGGCTCAGCGGCCATGGCTCATGGGCCCAGCCGCTCTGCGGCATGTGGGATCTTCCCAGACCGGGGCACGAACCCGTGTCCCCTGTATCGGCAGGCAGACTATCAACCACTGCGCCACCAGGGAAGCCCGATTGCAGAGTTTTAAAGGCTCAAGGAGGACAGGTAAAGGATACAGCAAGAGGAGAAAGGGAAAGACAATCAACAAAAATTAAGGTGCAAAAGAGTCAGATACAATAGTGGTAATTATAATTCAACAAACATACTGATTACCTATGTATACCAAGCTGATTATATGACTTACCACATTATTATCATTAATATTTCATTTAAACATCACCCCTACCGTGCTATTATTCCCATGTTTAAAAATGAGAAAACTGAGACTCAGGGAGGTTAAGTAATCTGCCCATGATCATTCAAAGGCACAACCTGACTTTAAATCTAGTAAATCTGGTATGTCTACTTCCAAAGCACATTTTCACAGTCCTTTGCTCTATACTACACAATAAAACTGCACAGAGAGAAGGACACAAGATAATGACAAGAATGACATCAGAAAAAATTGTCACCATAAACCAGATTTTCCTCAATCCTGAGTTCCTTTCGATTCCTAAGGTAAACACTGCCTGTCTCTTACTTACCACTTTTGCTTCTCACTATCCTTCCCACCCCACACTGCCCCAAAAGCTAGTCCATTCCCTAGAAGCTTGAGTTAAAGAAAGGCTAACATAAAGATGAACAGTCAGGGCCCTCTTTTCTCATTTTAGGTTGAGGGAAGAAGACTGTATATGCAGAGTTTACACAGCAATCAAAATTTACCACAAAGTCAATCTGACACACTGTAGCAGAACATTAAGCATAAATGGAAAACTATGCAAATAAATGAGTATAATTTATGCCATAAAAAGAAGGATTTTGGATACTAGAACTATAGATTTTAGAACTATAATGGACTCTAGGGATTACTCATTTTACACCCCCTTCCGAAGCATAATTTACTCTTTTATCCACTATATACATACCTCTGTGTACATACCTCTAGGGTACAATGTATTCATTTATTCACACTCCTCCCTCCCCCCAAAAAACTGTTAGTTCCTCCTATGTACCAAGCATTTACAAAGACAGAGTAAATAAGATAAATAACCAAATAAGAAAATAAACAAGATAATATAAGCTAATGATAAGTACTATGAAGAGAGATAATAGAGACTAATGTAGCAGAAAATCACTGTGGTTGGAGATTGAGGTAGGGGATTGAAGATTACTTTAGGTGGGTGTCATACCTTCCTAGGATATGACATTTAAACAAAGACTTAACTGTATAAAAGAATAATCCATGCAAACATCTGGGGACACAGCATTCCAGGTATATGAAATAGTATGTGCAAAAGCCTTGAGGCTAAGCAAGCTTTGGTATAGTTGAGAAACCAACAGAAGGCTGGAGTGGCTGGAGTGGAGTGAAAAGTGGGGAGTGGAAGAGGATAAAATCAGAGAGGTAAGCAGAGGCCAGATCACAGGAATAGCTCAGATTTTATTCTATTACAGTAAGTTATTATATGGTTTTAAACAGGGATTTCAAAGCATGATCCCTGGACCAGTAGAATCAGCAGTATCTGGGAACTCCTTAGAAATGCCAATTCTTGAGCCCCACCCAGACATACATGATCAGAAACTACAGGAGTAGAAGCCAGAAAACTAGATTGGAATCTCTATCTGAGAGACCATGGTGACAGTGGAGATGAAGAGATGAAGATTTATCATACTGCATGAATAAATTATTTAAGCACTTATTTTCCCAGCTTGAATGATCTCTATGAATAAATAAATGGACAAGTGAATGGATAAGTTAAGGAACAGAATAAATGTTTAAAGATAAAGTTGCTGAAGCACAGAGAGGCTATCTTCCTAACAAGAGGCTCCATCGGCTACTCCCTCCCAATCCTCCATCTGTCTGATCCTTTGAACAGCTGCTCACTTCATTCAAGTCTAGGTCTTGGAGACTAAAAAAAGCCTCAGAGAGTTTCTATGGGCCACTGGTATAAAAATTAATTAAGGAGCAAGACTATACAGTCCTGGAGCTCTGATAAATAATGCAGATCCAAAGGCAGAGTATCAAAACAGAGGAAAGGGAATATGGGAAGGTTAGCGGTTGGAGGCTGAATTATGAAATTAAAAAGAAAAAGGCTAGCTCCTACTCTCTGTTACCCATTCTGATTCATCATCCAACCCTAGACACCTAAAAGCTGAATTATTTCAAGACAAGCTTTAGGCAAAGCCCAATTTCAGGGATTAGGGAAAGCACCTCTTTCCCACCCTCACCTCCCCAGAAACATGTAAAATAAACTTTCCAGCACTTGCTTGCAATTGCCTGAAATCCCTTTAACTGTAAGAAACACATTCCTTTTCACAGTTAGAGATAAAATTGTGTTTTCTTAAGAGGAACAACACATATGAGTGAATACATTTTAATCCAAGTGTTAGCGATCATAGATGCTCTCCTTTTTCAGTATTGAAAAAAGAAATTGAAAGCAGAAAGATGGACTCTAAAAGGCAAAGAGGACACTGGACAGGGAAACCATGGCCCTTTTTATCTTCATCAGCATGAGCACAGAAAAAGACAGTGAGCAAAGGTACTTCAAATCCTCAGAAGGTAGCCAACACCCAAGCAAAAATATGCTACTAGGTCTTAGAACCAGTAGAACATTAAGACACCTCTTTATATGAAAGTCCTATACCCTGTCTGTTCTTTAAATAGTGTCTGAAATAAACAGAACTAGGGAAAG